ACGCTTCTCATCACTTTTTTACAACATCAAAATCTACCGCATTAACCAAGCAATATTTTAATAAAAAACGAGAAAAACTCCCTTCTGTTTTGATGGGAGAGACCGTCTCCGTGTTTGCTTTCTTTAACAGCAATTTTTCAATGTCACTGAATAAAGCATAGCCACCCTAATCCAATACAGTCAAAAAAACCTACACATCGAACAGGAAACAAAGCCTACCGACTCACTACTACTCTCAGTACCAATGTGCCACATCATTTGCTTCATAAACTTTAATGCAATAAAAATGACAGCATCTCGTCACTCAGAAACAGATGACATAATATTTACAACAGGTAAGAAACACCAGTTAACAAAGAAACAATGACCCGCTAGAAAAAACAGCCGTCTAACCGTATCTTCTAAGACTGAGCCTCCGTAAAATCAATATATGTCGAGAACTCTCAATGAAATCGCTACTGTCACAACATACACGCTACTAGATTTAAAACAGTACTCGCTAAATATTGTCAAAAACGACGAGACTAGAACCCTAAAACATTTCCCATTTCTCAACAAAATACACCTCCCATTTGATGCCCACTCCACGACCAATACCTCCTCTGCTTCTTCCGTCCGAAGAGGTTATCAACAAAGATTTATACAAGCACTGTACTTCCATAGCAGATGAAGATCTGAGAAAGAAGTATAAAGGCTGCTTCGAAAGCCCTTTCTCAACAACTCCCCTGTCCTCGTGCCTGTAACTAATTCATTTGAATAGCTTAGGTTCAGTGCAAGAAAATTAGCTCCTAGAACATTCTCGAGAAAAACATCAAAACTACCAAGCAAAAACTCATAGCAAGCGTCCAAAAACCAATTTTTACTATTGTAGTTTCACCAGACCGAGGAAGTCCGTCAACCTAACAAAGTACCTTACCGTTCTTTCCTTTCCGATCCTCATAGAATATTCCATGGAACAAACACTCACAAGGTTTCTATTCCTGGGAATCTAAAAGTAGCTGTGTTGACAAAACAGAACTCAATACGTTGTTATTCATGAATAAAAAATCAGTACAATAGAGGGGAAAAGATTATTAAAACCCATACATTCAGAGTCCATGTCATCATCAGACGATAAAGACGACTCGAGTAGATTGGTGCCTGCTTCAAAATCAAAGAAATCCTTCCCTTTCCTCATAAACTCTCTGAGTAAGATAGCTTTCCGAACCCATTCTTCTTCCGCATAAGTACCACCATTACTCGCATCAAACAACAAACGTCCAGAATCCTCAAGTAGCCTCTCAACTTCCACAGAACATACAGGAGGACTCAAGTATTGCTGCGCAAATTGAAATAAATGTGGAAATTCCCTTTTGCGTCTCCTCCAGAAAACCTGAGGCGGTTTACGGTTCACTGCATCAGTAACAATGTAACAGTACCTTGCGACCTCGTCCTAAAATTTACAGCGCCAATTCGGCACGACAAAGCAGCCAAATAAATAAATGAAAATGTAGATTTCGAACGAACGCGTCTCACCTTATTCTTATCTTGGTTTAAAAATTACGTCAGGGAAAACCACTTACATTGACTACTTCTAAAGGCCCAAGAACTACTCAAATTACTTCTTAAAACGAGCTCCACTCAAACTAGTATAAATAAAAGAATAGGCAAATAAATACACATAAAATGGAAAGGAAATGATAGACCTCACTTCAATCCCTCTCCCTTTTTAAACTGCTGTAAAGGCAAAGATAGGTTTGAAACTACATCAGCACTAGAAAGCGTAAGAATTTAACAGTAAAAAATACCTAAAATTCAAAGTTACCTCGACAAACTCATTAAACAATGCCTTATCTCCTTGATCCTGACAAGTTGGGGAATCAGTTAAATAAGAATTGACCGCGGATGCTACAGTAGCGAATGCTTCCTCATCTTTTATGTTCTTCGCATTATCTAGACAAATTGCATTAAACACTTGAAAACTAATTTGTTCTTTTTAAGCACATGAAAACAGACAACCTGCACTACAAGCCAGAAGTGATCTTCCTGAATTCTGTAGCATCTTTTCTTGCAACAAAGTTCGTACCGACTTCCAGGTCTTCTCATCAAAAAGCTTTTCGGATCCTACATAACGCGGATCTAGAAACAACGCTAACATAAGTTCCGTGCTGTCGGAAACCGAGTTAGAACCTCCACGTCCATCATTAAAGAAAAAAGACTTCACGACGGCCAGTGCAGTAAGCGCAAATTGATTCGTTAAACGGCTGTATGAGAGATTAGCACTTGCACTTTCCAAAGCCTTCACCAGACCATTTGCATAGGGAATGTACATTGACAACCAACTATTCGGTTTAGAAGCCTACAATGAACAAGTAAAGACACGCAGTACGAAATGAAGGAAGTGGTTTTAAAGTTACCTCTAAAGTGACTTCTTCAAAAAGTTCAAGAATCCGCAGCAAAGAATCCATTATATTCATTTCTTCTTTCGTGATAGCAATGATCCTGTTTGAAGCTTTCGTAAGTAACAGCTCAGACGCCAATTCGTTGATAACTGAAACCCCTTTCCGGGCTAATTGTAGGAGTGTCATTGTCGAGGTCCAAGACGAAGACGTATCCTAGAAACAACTGCTACTAACGATTTTGTTCAGGTCCCAATAATGACGAGTAAAAATTTTAGCAGCGAGACCAGCAGTAACGCAAGGAAAAAAATTCTCACCAGCGTCTGAATGAAGAGTTTAGCAAGTTTTCTGAGGCGAATATGGAAAAAAAAATATTGAGATAATATTGCGATAAAAGAGAATACAAGTGGCTTTCAGTCAAAAACATTTTGACCGACTTTTCCATGGATTTCAAAAACAAAATAGGGATAAATACGACACTTGAAAACTTGCCAGAACCAGTCGGAAGCAACTAACATTCATTCTAGTACACACTGCATTAAATGCCTTCCTCAGTTTTAAGCTATGGTGAAGAGCGTCTGCAGTGTTCCTAATTTTTGCCAATACTGACTGTGCTCCTTCGGCAACAGTTAAGAACTCTTCAGCAGCCAAATGTATTTTGTGAGCTAAACACGGCACCCTAAAAACAAAAAGTAGGTATACTGACTAGCTGATATAATAGCAAATTCAGATCAATGAACCAAATTTACCATGGAATTCGTAAGTTCGTAGCAATCTTTTCCATTAAAGGTCCACTAGTTACCAAAACAGTAATCTGAGAGAAGTGCACTCCAACCTCATCCAACGCATACTGCAATCTTTCCTGAACGTCCCATGTGCAGTCATCGTCGTCGACAAAAGGCACTACATCAAGGGTCACCTGACGCCGCTTAAAACCTCTTCCCAGGCCATGCGCTTTAACTCTAAAAAAAGAAAAAGGAGTAAATCAGGCATCATGTTGTCGCAGTTCCAAGTTTCAATTTAATGTATATGGAGAAACGAAAAATCTACTAACATACGCTATAAATCCTTTGAAAAATACGGGCATAGGCACTGCATACTCATCCATGGATAGTGCAACTGTCCCTATTTCCTCAAAAAATTCCTTCTTCTTTCTCAAATAGTTCTGCCACTGCGGTTCCAAAATTTGTCCACGAAGGAATTCGGAACTGGGTAGCTGCAGTGACACAGATCCAGTTATAATAAAAGTTATCTACCGTACGGCTGTGCAAAAGTTTTTATAAATAAAACAAGCAGGGAAGAGCAGTTTCATTTACCTGAAAACTAGGCATAAATGCATTCATTAATTTTCTAAACGATGGTTCTTCCACATGAGAGAGCGGCAGAAGTCCAGATATAATGTAATTTCCAAGTAAGTTTTCAAACTTGGTACAAGGTACTGTTGCCACCGTTGCGGGTGATGTCGCTGTAGTCGCCAAATCACCCTCGACAGTTCCAACATCACCAGCAGAATACTTGCTGTCGTTCGTCGAATCTATATTATTCAAAAAAAAAATTAAGGTAATTTCAAGCCATAAAAAATCTAACAGAAATGCTGTGAACGGTCGCTACAAAACATTGTTAAGTAACCATATACACGTGCCTGCAATTTTTCGTTTTTTGCCTTTCAGTAATTTGTGGAATACATTTTCATGCGCTGACTCTAAATGCCGAAGCATTGGCGTAGTTGAGTGGTGATGGAACAGAATTTCATGGTGATTACACTCTTCAAAGTTACATCGGACGACCTGAACACCACGATATCGTTCATGATCAATCCCAGCGCCATCAGTGCCAACGACATTATACAGACGAAAGTTTTTCCAGACTTCGCTTCGACAGGAGCGTGGATCTACCGGTTCCAAATAGCCATCGAATAATCGTGAACGTATACGAGTAGACATGCACAAAAGAACTGCCCAAAACACTAAAAAATTATTAGTAGAAGGCAAGAAACAGTTTCAATACCAGGACAAAAAACAGCAACAGCAACAAATAGTTAGAGTTGAAAGTAAAAGAGAGTGAAAGGGGAACGAGATGAAAAAATTAAATAAATTATAGTATAATATAACAATAGAATGGAAAAAAGAAAAAAAAACAGAATGGCAATTTGCCCACAGAAGTTAAAATCAAAAAAATTTTCAAATTGGTGTATTTTAGTTGAAAAGATTTCCGTCTGTTTTCCATTTGTATGATTTGTGGCGGTATATACACAGTGGGGAGGGAAGGGGAGGGGAGGGGACGGGGGTCTGATCGAACAAGTAGAGAGCTCTGTGTTCAGGGCAAAATGCAAACAAAAAACGAACAGCCTATTTGAACAAAATACACCACTTATTGCTGGTAGGAGCAGCTGGCCAATTTCAGGCGCTGTATCTGAACAGCGTTTGATCATTGATGTGCACGGTTGTTTGAACATCATCACCACAAATGAGAAATGTTCATTTGGTTTATTTGGCTCCATTTATGATATGTGTTGTATGAGTGTATGTTTGTTTGTTGGTGTGTATTGGAACCAACCATGCTACACAGATTTCCTCCTTTTTCTTTTTTTTTAACAGTTTGAACTCTCTTAGACACTTTGTAAGTTAACATCGTCTCGTTCGTTCAGTATACCTGCCGAAGAATGGTTATAGTTCGTGAGTACATACACTTCTCGATAAAACCTTTTTCAAAAAGAAAAAAAATTTCCTGATTTTTTAAAACAAGAGACGTTACTTGAAAGTATTTGGTAAACAATTTTTATAAAGTTCAATATTTGACGCCGGAAGGGTTAATGAACTGTGACATGGATAACTAAACTGCAGCAAGACATTTATATGCTAAATAAAGTGAAAAACCTGTACAACTTTATTTATCCCAGATAAATGATGTCCTGCTTTTTAAATGTGCAGATAGACTGCAATGCGAATTAGTGTCGACCGTTGTGAACAGACTTTTACGAACAAAAACTGCTCACTAAAAAAGTCAAAAAAAAAAAAAAAAAAAAAAAAAAAA